AGATTTACTTGAATTGGAAGTTTTAGAAAACCTTGAATAATTAACAAGTTTCATATTTTTTGAAGATATAAATTTGAAATTTTTTGGAGTGCTTTAAAAGTTTGCTACTGTTCACATAGCTATTTTGCATAAATGAATCACGTAGCTATTTCTTATAAATGAATCGTTGGATTTTGATCTAAATGGTGGATTTGAAGTACAATGAATTTTGAATGTCTTGTCTAAATTTCACGACGACCGAACCACAAAACACTAAGATATCAATCATTTGATCATAGTAGTGCATATTTTCCAGATCGTACGAATTTCTACACTGTTGATCTTCCATTTTCACTCGATTTTTATTAGATTCATTATGCTGATGATGTGTCATAAAATTAAAGAATTAAGAGAGAAATAAAGAGTAGAAATAAAAAGAGCCAAAACTCAAGTTTTTATTTTTTATTTAGTATAACAATTGACACATTTATTAAGTCCAAAAGGAGAGCTGATAAGTGAGTTTTACACACTTATTCGGTCTACAAAATATGACTAATTGTTGATCAAAACACTTGGATAGTAGTTGAATTCTGTATAATTTTATTTTGTAGGACTATATTGATGGATATGACGGAATTCAAGAAAAAAGGGGGAAATTCAAAGTATGAGGACTAAATTGCAACAATTCAATAGTTGATTCGGACCACAAAATGAAGATTAAAGATGTTACGGGTTCAATTGGATGCAATTAAAAGTCAAAAGGTTGAAAATGCAAGAGAAATGACTTTATAGAATCAAGAATCGACTTCGGGGGCTAAAATGCAACATTCAAAAGTTTTTTTTTTTATAACTGAGTGACAACCCAATTGTTTAGAGTGGGCGACTGCCCAACGTAAAAAAATGATTACCAAGAAGTAAACTTTGACCTAGGCAATTGCCCGAGTTTTGCCTTAGCTCCAATCGCGATGAAAAAATTATGATTTCTTATTTTGACTGAAATTCTTATGGAAACAAATCTTTGAAGGTATTTTACAACCTTAGGGCTGTCCCTAAGCATACACCATACATTATAACACATTCATAAGGTTTTTAGAGAGGAGAACAAGACAAGAACGTGAAGATTGCCATCAAGACGCAATGATTCAATTCAAAATTTAAAGTTGGGATGTCTTTTCTTTATTATGTAGTTTGTTTTCTTCTTCTCACCACTCTAAGCTAGATTTTTATGTACTAGGAGATCAATGAACCTCGTAATGTGATTCTTAATTCCTTATTTCATATTTTTCATATTAAAACACGTTTGATTATTTTGAATGGTTTATATGTATTTAATTTCTTCCACATTTAAGGGCACGTAATTGTGTGAGTTTGGGTGACTTATTTCTTGCATTCAAGAGAAGGGGAGTAGGTTCGACAAGGTATAAATCATCGTAGAATCCGATAGGGGATAGAGAGATACCGTTATACTCTGTGTGAATCTTTAAGTATTCACGAAACTACATATATTTTTATATATTTGCACTCGTCATGAAGATATAGGCTGGTGGTATATGAAAGTAGGTTTAACATTACTCGAGAGAAGAATATTGGATAGATTTAAGAGCATTGATTCTTCAAAATTTCATCATGTTGTCAATTTATGAAATTATGGTTAAATTAAACATTACTTGGTAATTCGTGATCCTGGTGCACTATACAATTGCTGAATACATTAAATTGCGTTTTCAACATTTAATAGCATTTAAGTTCATTTAAACATCAATTTGCATTTTGTTCATTATGTGCATAATTAGTTTAGGTTAGGAAGTAATTAGGTTATAAAATCACTTGTTAAAATTTAGTTTCGATTAAGGTCTAAATAAATAACATTGAACTAAATCAATCTCTATGTGACGATATTCAGACTCATTTTCACTGTATTACTTGTCACGAGCTGTACACTTGCGGTGTTTTAAATCAAAAAAATAATTTTGTAAACAAAATCTACTCTTTTAGAGTAAATAGAATTTATGTAAATATTCGACTTAATTCTCCAAATAGTCACCAAACTTTGCCAAAAGTTCCCAAGAGGTCATCGAACTTTAAAACTTCCTTTAATAGGCACTGGACTTTGCCAAAAAGTAAGTTCCTAGGAGGTCACAAAATTTCAAAACTTCCCTAAATAGTCATTGAACTTTGCAAAAAGTTCTTAGGGGTCACTAAATCAGTGATATATGGGGTCCCAATTTGTAAAGTCGAGTAATCCCCTAGGAACTTTTTGCAAAGTTCAATAATTATTTAGGGAAGTTTTGAAATTCGGTGACCTCTTGGGAACTTTTGACAAAGTTTAATGACTATTTAGGAAAGTTTTGAAATTCAGTGACCTCCTAGAAATTGACAAAGTTTAGTAATTATTTGGATAATTAACTTGAAAGTATTCTAGTCAAATTAAATAGTCATTAATAATTATCTCATAATTTTACTACACATTAAACTTTATTATTAGTCTGTAAGATAAATTTAAACCATCAATATTAACTACATCTTTCATAGATCTCACAATTTTTCAACCACACATTTCAAAAACTTCTATCATGGTCTACTAAAAAATCTAAATTTAATCTTCACCAAACACCCTCGTCATATTAGTCAAAAAAAAAAAGAAAAAAAAGAAAAAAGAAAAAAATCAGAGTGAAATGACTAGCCGTTACCCATTCATCTTGAACTCCACGTCGAGTATTTGACAGAGAAGTGGAAAAGACGAGGAGTATATGTTCGTACTTCCGGGCAGCTATCTAATTGAGTGTAAATCAGAGAAATTCAACTGATGCATGATACTGACATTGGTGGATGATCAACACCAGGGATTTGAATGATCACTTACGGATTAGGATTAGACTCACATTTTTATGCTAAATAAATACACACAATCCTTGTGGTAAATTTTTAGGAAAAATCTCCAAGTACAGGGATTTTGGACTGTGAAATGACTTGTAGATTTTGGTCAAAACTGGTGAACTCATATTGTTTGCGGGAGTTGCTATTTGTTTATTTTTTTTGTCATAATTGTTTGAATAATGCCCTACATGGGACCATTCACGTTCGTGGTGGAATAACAATGGAGTTCAGTGGATCAGTGGAAGCTACTATTTCATCATATCCATCTATTCATTCTTGATTCATTTCCCAAAGCCATAAAAGACTTCAAAGAAGAGAAATAGGGGTCCTTTGTCGTCACATTTTGACTCACCAAATCATTTGAGAGTTCAGATTTGATTCCAAGTTAACCCTCAAACAGCAGGTTCATTCAGAAATAAGTTTCATTTTGATTTAGTGTTTCGAGCCGACATAGGGACGGTATCGAGCTAGGTAAACACAGAGCCACACACTTTTGAGATGTAGATTCCTCACAGAAGATATATAAATAAATTTGGATACGAATATTATGAGAGTTCTTTATATTCTGGTCAAAATGGTAACCTCTGTAGTGTTTAACACTTTTAGAGGGATGCTGTAGTGTTCTGCACAATTAGTTGACTTCGTTTTTCATGGAACTAGGACCATTTGTTTTAACTTGGATATGGACATCCAGTGGCCAGTGTCTCCCCCACGGGTTATTGTATGGCAAACTCATGGAAATAGTAGGAATTTGGAATAGATTAACTAATTAATTTTTTTTCTTTCTTTCTTTTTGTACAATAAATTTCTAATTTTAAGCTGAATAATTTGAAGATTTCTAACTCAATCCTTATTTTTTGTTAAAAGATGAAGGGAAACTAATAGATGTTACCTTATTAGGATTTTTTGTTGGAAATTGAATCCCAGAGAGACGAATCGAAAAGCAGAAGCATGGGGTTCTTTAGAAACTTATTTTCATCTCCTTATATAGCTCTCTCTTGTCTTTAACCTAAAGTTTATTGCAAAATATCAACTTTGGTATATTGATTCTTTACTGCTTGTGAAAAACCATGCTGTTAGCAGCTCACGGGTTTGCTTTTTCTAGCAAAACTTAAGTCGATTGCGGTTGTGAACTATGTCACGTGTTTGAGGGAGGGGAGTATCGAATGTTTTTGATGAATGAAAACATTTTTGTCCTCAACGATGTGTACACATTAGAAAGTTTAACTTCATGATCTGCATTATTTATTTGAATGAAGTTCTTTAACAGATTTCTTTATCAGTTGTCCTGAAGGGCAGTTTAGTCTTTTAGGGAAAGTCTTTGAAACGACTAACGAGTAAGAGGAGCAGGAATTACTCTGTTCATAGCAATTATTTTATAATTATAAATTCTTTAAGGATTTTGGTCAAAAATGGTGAGCTTCCAAAGTGTCTTTCTTTTTGTGGGAGTTACTAATTGTTTCTAGCCATAATAGCTTGAATATTGTCCTACGTGTGGGCATTCAGATTTGTCATAGAGTGAAAATGGGAGTCCAGTGGTTTCCACTATTTTGATATATCCATGTGATAGATTCACTAGTTGGACCAGCAACATGGTGAGATGTTTGAGGGTTTACTTGGATTGGAATTTATCCTTTTTTTTTTTGGTAAGCATATTCATTTTCGTACTCCAATATGGCTTGAAGCGAAATGTACTTGAAGAGTGGAGAAAAGGAATCGAGAGCTCGATTTTCAGAGCCAACATAGGAAGACGAGCTAGAAAAATATAGAAACGTGTACTTTTGAGATGTAGAAGACACAAGGTCATGTATTGAACAAAAAACTAAATGTAATTGTGTTGTAATATGTGACTCATATAAAGTGGAACACATGTTTACTAGAATAAATAGGTCAATGTCAAAGCGCAGCGCACTGAACGGAACAGAGCTGAGTGACAACATCGGCCTCTTGAGCTTTAATTTACTGTCTGTTTGGGAGCGGTACAGTGTAGATATACTTTTGGGTCTTTTTCTTTAATCTTATACTGACCCTAAAGTCTTGTATGGGTTGAAACTAGAGTTAGCATATATAGATGATGTAATTCTATTATTCATACATAATAAAAACATAGCCGCTTCACTTTCCGTGAACGTAGGCGTATCATCTAACCATTTAAATCTGTGTTCTTATTTCTTTGTTGATTTCAGATTCTTCATCGTTATTATTGTTGCTAAAATCACAATTGTGACATTATTTTGAAAAAAAGAAGAAGTAAAACTGCAGGATGTTTTACTGTTGATCCAATTACAGATTGACTAGCATCATTTACATGGATCTAATGGAATCCCACACAAGCATCGGTTATGAAAGAAGGATGTGTAATCCCAACCATCAGAGTTAAACTTCAACTTCCAACCAGTCGGTATTTTACCACACAATCTGTTATAGGTGAGATTCAGCCTCTGCAACATTGTATCCTCTGTTATTTGAGGTGGAATACTCCCATAAATTTTGTTGTGGGATATATCCAGAATAACCAATGACTCCATGAAACTCACCTTTGAGAAATCAAACGAAAAGTTGTTCCTTGAAATGGCGATCACGGTAGTGATCTTTCCCTTACCAAAAAACACAGATGCATCTCCAGATAAATTGTTTCTTGAAATATCGACTGTAGAATAGTTCAAGTTTGCTAAAGATGCTGGAATTTCACCTGACAGCATGTTATGAGATAAGTCAAGAGCTGGGAATTCAGCTGTATTGGGGAGGTAGCCGAAAGACTCTGGTATCTGCCCGGTAAGTTGGTTTCGACTGAGGTCTATTACTCGAAGATATGGCAGAGTAGCAAGCGAAGATGGAATGGAACCTGATAAACGATTAAACTGAAGTTCAAGAAATGCAAGATTCTTGAGGTTTACCAGAAAATGGGGTACTGGTCCTGAGATATTTGTCCAACTTATTTCTAGGAATCTCAAATTTGTCAATTCTCCAATTGCGGGAGGAATTTCACCGACAAGATTCGGTATCTTGTGAAGCCGGAGTATTTGTAAGTGTGTGAGATTGGCTAGTGCAGTTGGGATTGTGCCTGTCAGATAATCAGATATCATTTCAAGGCCAATGACATAATTTGTGGTCTCATCACATTCCACACCATAATAATTACAGCAATCAAAATTAGGATCCCATGAAGGAATTGGATTTGGATTTGAGAAGCTGTGTTTGAATGCTAGAAGTGCAGCTTTGTCATTTGGGTGACAGAGTTCTGCTGCAGAAAGTGCAGTGAACAGAGAGAAGAGGAGAAATGGCAGCATATTCCACCATAATGAGAATATGTGTTCCTTAGAAGGGTTTATATTTATAAATGAATTATTATGTTGTGGTCAAAATTGGTGCCTGTGTCTCGTTTGATTCATTGATTATGGGCAACTATTGGTTGTCTTTTGACAATCCCCCAACTTGTTCAAAAAATAATTGTAGGATAGATCAAATAGGATTGGATTTAAGATCTGGCAGGGATTTGGGGTGAGATTTTGAATTTTAGTAAATCAGATCCAAATATTCCGATTGGGTAATAACTATAAATCTAAATACACCTTAAGCATGTATTTGATTTGCAACGTTGAATAGGTTACTAAAAATTGTCTAAAATCTTGTCCGTCCGTCCGACTAAATGTCCATCCTACCAAACATGCCAACACTAAATGACTTTGTTGAATTTTTGGAGGTTCATGATGTGGGATCTCTATTTCAATAAAATAATGTCATTTTTGTGCTCTATCTTTCTTATCTATCATGGATAATAAAAACAAAGAAAAGAAATCTTGAAGGTTTCTTAAACTTGGCTCATACTCAATATTTATTTAACCATTGAAACCAGATATTTTTGGCTTCACCTGGGTTAAAAATGCAGTTTGAGGGGTTTATTATAGGCAAAAGGTAGAACATTTATCATTTCTTGCTTTATTGTAGCAAAGAAAAAGAATAGAGTAAAAGACAAACTTCCTCTTCATCTCAACCCCCAAATTGCCATCCCAAACTGAGGTAAGGGAGAACGAGAGGAATCGAGTGATTAGGGGATTAATGGTGGGAGAACCCTCTTGGGAAGGAGAAGGACGGCGAACCAGAGACTTGAAAGTATTGGGGAGAGGGGCACCAAATGAGACATTGGGTGGCAAA